GTGCTGAAATTGTGGTCTGGGCTGCTGTAGGTAGCTTACAAGTACTCCAAATTCCAAAAGTTTAGGGGAATTTACATGCACAAAGGCATCTTTTTATAGCGGTTTTGAACACTGTTTTGGAACTATTTTGGCTCTTCGTTTTTATTGTTTTAGGGATTTGAAAATGTTGTGAGAGCTTTTAAAATGCTATGAGATCTTTTGGAGAGCTGAGAGAGTTGTTTGGGTGCTGAAATTGTGGTCTGGGCTGCTGTAGGTAGCTTACAAGTACTCCAAATTCCAAAAGTTTAGGGGAATTTACATGCACAAAGGCATCTTTTTATAGCGGTTTTGAACACTGTTTTGGAACTATTTTGGCTCTTCGTTTTTATTGTTTTAGGGATTTGAAAATGTTGTGAGAGCTTTTAAAATGCTATGAGATCTTTTGGAGAGCTGAGAGAGTTGTTTGGGTGCTGAAATTGTGGTCTGGGCTGCTGTAGGTAGCTTACAAGTACTGCAAATTAATTTTGGAGTACTGTGAGAGCTTTTAGAGTGCTACGAGATCTTTTGGATAGTTGTGAGAGCTGTTTGGGTGCTGAAATTGTGGTTTGGGCTGATGTAGGTAGCTTACAAGTGCTACAAATTACTGTTTGGAGTGTTGTGAAAGCTTTTAGAATGCTATGAGATCTTTTGGAGAGTTGTGAAAGCTGTTTGGGTGCTGAAATTGTGGTCTGGGCTGTTGTAGGCAGCTTACAAGTGCTGTGAATTACTGTTTGGAATGCTGTGAGAACTTTTGGAGTGTTGTGAGAACTATAGGTGTTGTAAGGATTTACATGCTATTAATTGGAACACAATTAAGTGTTGTTTGGGGCATTTCGGGGCATTTCGAGAGCTAATTTTGGGCAGTTTTGGCACCATGTTGGAACCACTTTAACACCGTTTGGGCGAAATTTTAGCACTGTTTTATGCACCAATTTTTGGAGAGGTTTATGTAGCCTTTAAGTACTGATTTACGTACTGCATTGAGGTTTTTCTGGATTATTATTTAAACGCTTTTAGGCTGATTCACTTACTGTTTTCCCCCTTTTCGGCTTTACTAATTTTGGAAGTGGGCCGACCTCCTCCTTTTGTTTTATTTATTTTTAAATAGTTAAGTCGAAAAATGGGAGTTTCTGATTTAATTATTTGGAAGACACTTAGAAATTTGAGGATTAGTTGGAAAACACTTAATTGAGGATATAACACCTTAAATCACTTTAAGCACAAGTTAAAGTGTATGCTTCCTAGATTTTAAGAGCACTCCCGAGGTGAGAGTCCACCTACCTAATTCGTTCCTCAGCATGATCTTCCTAGAATTTAGGAGCACACCCTAAATGAGAGTCCATCCACTTAATTCTTAGCATAGGTTCCTAGATTTTAGGAGCACTCTCTAGGTGAGAGTCTATCTACCTAATTTTCGAATAAATAATGTAACTAAGAACTTGACCCTGATTCACAAATTGATTAAGACACTAGGCATGAGGATGCACCGAGGCGTAGTTCATTCTTCCTTAATTCAATCAATATTAGAATTCTCGCAATGACTTAACCTACAGTGAAACCCAATGCGCCAGGATTTGAGCTTGAACATTACACTCAAATTCTCCTAGCAATTGGGGATATTTGTTAAAGCCATATATAGATCACCAGACTAGAATAAGTCTAGGGATTAGGTGGCGGGGCAATGACGACATTGTTTATGTGTGCTTAAACGAAAGATACAAAGTGGGATTATTAGAATAGTATCTCCTACCTCAAGGATTTTCAATAAGAGAGAAAATGACCGATGATACTATTCGCCGACTCTTGGTAGGATTGTTACGCTCTTAAATTGTCAGTAGTTCTAGCACGATTAGAGTGACTAGCTTGTGAACTACACGACTATACAAAATATTTATAAAAATAAAACAAAATCTCTTTTGCATGTTAAAAAGAATTCTGCATAAAAAAATAAAAAATAACAACTTTTGCATGAAAATCAAATGATTTTTCTATGAAAATTTATAAAGGTCCACGAATTTTTCTATGAAAATTTATAAAGTATAAAGGTCCACAACTAATCACTTGGATTGAGGTTAAGGACTGCCCTCCGTAGATTGTCGGGATGGTAACACTTGTTCAAGATCGGGAAACACACAGTTCAGCTCTGAGCCCCCACTTCTACCAATGTCTTACACCTAGTTCTGGTCTTTCATATGTGACTAAGTGTTTCTTTTGCTTGTGATTTCTACGACTCATTTTTCTGACTTTTATGCTAGTTTTTTTCGCCTTGTTTATTTTTCTTGCAAGTTTATTTAAATCTGCTACAAATCATATTATGCTCGCAATATTAATCACGCAACAATAGCAGATGCTCAGGTACGCTTTTACAGTTTATCTACAACATTTTTTTTTACTTTACTGCATTTTACTTTTCAAGTACCTTTTATTTACCTACAATTTGTTTATTCTTCATGTAAAATTAAAACTGAAACAAAACAAAACCAAACTTTGACATCAAAACTGTGAAACATAAACCACCAATCTCAAACACTTAAACTCTGGATTCATCGCTACAAGAGGAGCTTGGAGTCAACTTTGTGGACAACACGATGAGGAACTTGGATCGAGCGACAAGAGGATCTTCTTCAATAATCTCTCTCTCCTTAGTCTAAATAACACATAGGACTTCGAGGTAGCTCGCCTTAGTCTAAATAACAACACATAGGACTTCGAGGTAGTTCGCTTAAACTCTGGATTCATCGCTACAAGAGGAGCTTGGAGTCAACTTTGTGGACAACACGATGAGGAACTTGGATCGAGCGACAAGAGGATCTTCTTCAACAATCTCTCTCTCCTTAGTCTAAATAACAACACATAGGACTTCGAGGTAGTTCGCTCAGCTCGACATAAATCCTCGCACCCTCTTTAGGCGTGCAGCTTAAGTCCTAACTCGCCTTAGTTTCCGAGGTTATTGTATGGCACGACGTAACCCCTCTTATCTCTGCGGGCTATTTGCATAATTAGTTGTTATGCAAGTGTAAGTCCCAAATAATAAAATTTACAGGATTAAACACTCAAATAACATCGTCTCTAAGACTCAGCCACACATTATGATAGCTTGGAAAGTCACTGATGTTTTCTCCTCAGAATCTGTGACATCCATTACCTTTCATTTCTTTGGACTCCTGAAAATAACTGTTCCTATTTGAGCCACTCACTTGTTTTTTCACGTCTTACCGTGAAAACTTAAATTTTAAATTCTTGAAGACTAGTACCTCTAATCGTTATCGAGAGTTTTCTCAAGTAACTCCCGTCATTTGGGATGTAATTAACTATAGGGATTTGTCTCTATATGGAACTTGAAACCCAAGTAAAATAAATCTTATCTAATCTTTATATTAGGTAGGGGAACTTGTCGGTCACATATAAAAGGTTCGCAGACCAAACGGATGTCACAAATCTCTTGGTTTGCAGGATTAAGTCCATCACGTCCATCCCCGAGATATACACTTATCTTTCGGGAAAGTGCAATAATCGCGGTATCGGACACGATTATGCAAACTACTGGACGAATGAGATCCATTTGATCTCATTTTTCAAAATTTAAAACGCACTACTTTCAAAACCCAAATTATATACATCTTATATTTAAATTAAATTTCAAAATTATTTTTCAAATCTTCAAAAAGTTGACCGACACCTGTTATATTTAAATCAACTACCCAGCTGGCTCCCCCAGCCTATGCCAAAAAGGCATCCATGGAATAGATGTCATAGAAAATATTTAATCTACAGCTACTGTGGAGCCCTTTCGGTTAGATATTTGTGTAAATATGGTAGATGAATAGTATAGTTTTAAATATTTTTTATTGGTTTGGATGCATTATGTTGAGGTACGATGAATTCATAGAATTGTGAGGTTGTCTGGATGTCTGTTGTAATAAGGACTATATGACATTGACAATGCATCTGGATGTTATCTATACATGTGCAATTTTGCATCTTGCAGTTATTTTGAATGAAAAAGGTCCAATATAGAGCCTCTTTATACCTTGAATCTTTAAATGTAAGGCTATAAACTAGTAAGCATTTTTATATTATTTTTGCATTTCAGGTATGTAAGAGGTCATGAATTGTCTAGGTGCAATCATTTTGTTGTAGTGTAAATTAAGTTTTGGTGATTGCAGACGAGGTATGCCTCGGTAGTTCATTTCATTGCTTCTGTCAGAGCCATCCATTGCAACGTAAAATTTTTAAGTTCCTAAGCTGGGCTGTTCCAAGAATATTGTACGCTATAAATTCAAACTAACCACAAACAAATCTAATCATCCAAATTTTATCAAATTGAATCAGTAATCAAAAAATTGTTATGCCATCTGGCATATAAGATTTGGAAACATATTGTTCACAAAAAATGATGTATGCTTGAACGAGTATGCCAAGTCGCAGATAAATTAGAAAATGGATCTAAGAAATCACAAGGCAGATATTAAAGGCATTTCTGGCTTCAACACTGTACCTTCTGTAAAATCTAGAATGTTTAAGAGTCTTAAAGTAAGAAGGATTGACAACAGCTTAACAGCCGGCTGACAAAAAAAAATTATTAAATAATCATTAAAAATGTAATAAAAGTAGATTTCATGTCTTTCCAAGCTTAGCTCAGCAACAGCCAGCGATTTTTTATATTGACCAAAAAGTAAAAGAGTTTAGATCTAAGTCACCTAAATAGACAATTTTTTTCTCAAAAGTCATGTGACATGCCACAATAAAAGAGCAAAATAACGTAATATCACTTTCAACAGCATTTGTATGCTGAATATAATTCAAGTTTAGTTAGAGATAAAATTGGCCATACAATAAAATTGAATATAATAATTAATCTATTAATAAGGCGCAAATTTTTTCTTAGAACAAAAATATTTGAGATCAGTTTTTTAATTACTAAAAATAAAACATGACAACTGACAATTATAGTGAGAATTCTAAGTGTTAGCAAAACGAACCTTTGATTGTGTTGAAAGGATATCGGTTTTGATTAGTGCAACTGGATTTGAAGGAATCTGACATGGAAAAAAAAAGATAGGTATCAGCTGTTATTGATATCCCTGAAAATGAGCAAGGCAAAAATGAAGAGTTGTGTATTTCTGAAAGGACTTTACCAATTTTGGCATCCCGTTCCTCACAACATAGCGCTTGTTTTGAGAAATAGGCTGTTCAAATGGCAGTAGGTTCAAAATTTGATTTCAAATCATTATATTCAACATTAAAGAATATTGGATTGACGCATGAGAAGAGAATATGGGGCAAAAATACGCATAAAACATCATCATCAGTGGCCAAATTTTAATTATTTGAGGTGAATTTATGAATCCCGATTCCATATTCATCATGTTAGAGTAACATGATGTGTTAACACTAGTTTATATAAAGATTTTGCTCAATTTTAGTCGAGTTAGCTTTTACCTACTACTGTCCAATTCCCTTTATAATCCTCTTAATTTAAATCTTATGTAGATTTCATACTAATGCACTACATTCCATCTTAAAAACTACTTTAATCAATAAATTGCAGTACCTTATGTTCTGAACTAACGTTAGCAATTAATTCTGCTTACTTCATACACTGGAATCTATAAAGAACAGCAATTTTAAAAAATTAAGCTTCAAAATTCTGAAATTTTAGAGCTTTCAACTTATGATTGAGTACAATAAGCCAAGTGGAAATCAATGTGATTAACATCGAGGTAGTGTTCAGGTTCACTTCTAGATCCAACATTTTTTGGATTATGCTCTGATTTACTTGATAATTGAAACAATTAAAAATTTTTAGGGCAATTTTATTTCAACTAAAGTTATTTATTTGATCGCCGAAAGCAACGGTTAAAATACCGGTGGTCCTTTGATCCTTTTTTATGGGAAAATATAAAGCAAGGAATGGAGAGACCTTCAAAATTCTTTCCCATATACATTAGAGATTGTACCATCAGCCAAATCAAACCGAAGCACTTTCAATCAGTGAATTTGAGATCCCTCTACCCCTTTTACCCTCCAATCTATCCCATCCTGTCTGAAAACATAGTCTCATCAACAATTCAAGCTGGGTTTACTTCATCAAGCTTGACAAGAAAATATGCTTTCCAGGAATTCTAGGTGTACCGGAACTAGTAGGAAAAGCAGTGGAATCACAAGAATAAAGTTTCATTAAGATTAAAATAGAATTACAACATGACTTGAACGGATATAACAACACAAAACATAAAACTACACAAGCAAACACTCCTAAATGTATCCCAATGAGTGGTGGAAGTCAGCTAGAGGGATAGAGATGATTGGAAGGGATGACGACAACCACAGGAGGTGGGTGGTAGTAAAGGAAAGGTGCGGAACTGTATGAACAGCAAGTGGGAAAGGTTGTAGATGGTCGGCAGTGGTAGTGTGGTGGTTGGGAGAAGTTGAAAGAAGTTAGAGATGCGGAACAACAGTAATAACCTGCAGCAAGGGGGAATGGTTGGGTGTCGGGGTGACAAAGGGAGAGTTCGGGGACTGAGGAGTGGGGAAGAGAAGGTTTGGGGAAAGTAAAAAGAGAGGATACAATCACCACTTTGGAGAGGATATACTACCTCCCCGGATGCAACCCACAAAGAGGAAAAGAACTCTACACGAGAATCTGAGAAAAACAAGTACTACTGACACCCACACATATAAGGCCAACAAATTATAGACTACCAAAAAACTTCTACATAAAGGAAAAGGATGGGAAGACGAGAAGAATCCAAAGAAAACCCTTCCCAAAATTCCTACAGGTGTCGCCTCTGGTTCGCGAAGGATCGCGAAACATCGAATGAGAATCGTGATATTGCCCTGCCTACAGTTCATGCGAGACTTCGCGGGTCTTCTGGCCCGCGGGATCAAAGCACCCCATATCGGAACGCATTTAGCGCCCGTATTCGGAAGCTGATTTCAGCACCCACGTCAGTCTCCTTAGGTTAGAGGGCTTGGAGTTCATAGGTCAAAGCTTCTGTTTTATCGTCAGCCACCCCGGATCCCACTGGTGACTGCATTGTCGCCCAAGTATTTCAAGGTCTTTCCTAGCTTGCGAGCCCATGTCCATATATCGATCTGTCATCCTGAGGCTGCAGACCACGCTTACACTGTTGAATCTTCCCAAGATAACCCAAGATAGGTTCAAACGGGAGTACAGTGAGAGTAATATGACCCATCTCGCACGGTGGTGGTGTTGTTTGTACGGCGTCGACCCGACATAACCTCGATCGTATCTGTCATGTATCTAGGAGGGTGTCTCAGTAATCTTGTCTTATGTCATTACCAAAATTGATCCCACTGACGTTGCTATGCTGATAAAAGATCCTATGACCTCGGGTTCCATCGAAGAAAAGAGGGTGATGCGCTTCGCGTCCATGGTAAAAGGATACATGTTTTTATATCTGTCGTGTTTAGTCTTCCGGTCAAACTGCCACAGTCGTCCCAACAAAATGTGGCAGGCGTTCATGAAAATCACATCACACCACACCTGGTCCTGTAGTTGGCCTCTAATAGAAAACTCTACCAAGCATCTTCGGTCGATGTTAACATGATTCTCCTTCTTCAGCCACATCAGCGAATATGTCTGGGAATGTCTTTGCGTCGCAAGTCCCAATCTCTTTACCATCTGTGTCGATGTCACATTCTTGTTGCTTCCGCCGTCGATAATTAAATTGCATACATTTTTGTTCACTTTGCAGCGGGTGTATAATATATTGTGGTGAAGTCACTGCGAATCCCTAGTGTCATTAGTCTGCAGTATTCGTCAAATCACGAGCTTCTCCCCTTAATGTGGGGGAAACTGATACTCCTCATCCTGTTCCTCAGCTTTCTCCTCATCGCTAATCTCTTCCATGACACTCTGATCAGTAAGTAAGACTACTCTGCTCGTGGGACAGGTGAAGGCTATATGATCATAACTGTGGCATTTAAAATATTTCCTGGCTGGTACAGTGTTGGAGGCACCACCTTTCTCCTGCTTTTCGCCCTAATTTGGATTGTTATTCTCGTGCCCGGGTTGGCTAGTCTCTCCTGAGGTGCCCTTATCGGACATGGTGATTGTAGGTGGCGTGTTGCTTGAAGGTGTTGCCTAAAGGATGGTTGTTGTCTGTTTTACTTTTGTTGTCTTTCCACCTTCAATGTTAATGTTTGGACATCCTCCAACGTTCAGTATAACTGCAATTGTACCACATTGTTGATGGCAAGGTTCGAACCCTTCAGATATCTAGCTATCGTATGTTTTTCTGGCTCCGGTGGCTCGCATTTAAGCTGCAATGGTCGAATTTGGCTGTGAACTCCTCAACTAAAAAATCCCTTTGTTGTGAGTTGTAAAGTTTCAGAAACATATCTTGGCGATAGTAGAGTGGGAGGTACTTTCTGCATTGTTTTTTTCATCTTCTCCCACTTGATTATCTTCTCATTGCCTTCTCTTTTCCTCTACTTTTGTAGATTTTCCCACGATAAGGAGATATTTTTCTCTAGTTTAATAACAACTAGCTTGACTCGTTTGTCCTATGGTACAACTTTATATTTGAAAATTCGTTCAACTGATTGCAGTCAGTCGATAAACTCATCGAGATTCATACCTCCTTCAAACTCTGGGTGGTCTATCTCGATGCCAAAGTCCCGCTAACCTCCATAAGGCACCTCTTCTCTCGGCTTCCTTTGATATTGGATACCAAAACAGTGTGGCTGATATTCTCGGCATTATGATCTTCTCTGTGGAACGAATTCATTTCCTTATCCCTGTCTTTTTTTTTTACTTTTTCAAGCACAGTCAAAGGTAACCTCTTCTTGGTTCCCGTCATCTAGCTCTGCAAGTTTCTGTTGTAGATGACGGATTTCTCGTTGATTCTCCTCCCAGGTCAAGTCCGGCGTACCTCTTCGCGGTGGCATGGCTAGGGTTGGAAATCATAAAAAAAAAATCGATGGAGGTGGCTTGGGTAGGGGCGAATGCTAGGAAATTCTAGGATGGAACTAGGATTGAACTAGCTTTGATACCAAATAATACCGGAACTAGTAGGAAAAACAATGAAACACATAAAAAAACATTCATTAATATTAAATTAGGGTTACATCATAACATGAATGGAAATAACAATACAAAACATAAAATGACACAAGAAAACACTCCCAAATGTATCACAATGGGTGGTGGAGGTTGACTAGAGCGATAGGGATGATTGAGAGGGATGACGACAACCACTAGAGGCGAGCGGTAGCGAATGGAATGTGTGAAACTGTATGGACAACAATTGAGAATAGTTGTAGGTGGTCGACAACAGTAGTGTGGTGGTTGGGAGAAGCTGAAAGGAGTGAGAGAGGCGGGATAGCAGTAATAACCTGCATAAAGGGGAATGGTTGGTTATTGATTAAGGGAGAGGCTGAGGAGTGGGGAAAAGAAGGTTTGGGGAAGGTAAGAAGGGATGATGCAATCACCGCCTTGGAGAAAATACAACTGAAGCACCACCACCTCCTCGAATACATCCCACAAAGGGGAAAAAAACTCCACATAGGACTATGAGAAAAAATACAAACACTACTGACTTCCACAAGCACAAGACCAGCAATTTATAGACTCCCAAAAAAACATCTACACAAAAAAAGGGTGGGAACGCAAGAAGGATCCAGAACAGTAGTGTGGTGGTTGGGAGAAGCTGAAAGGAGTGAGAGAGGCGGGATAGTAGTAATAACCTGCATAAAGGGGAATGGTTGGTTATCGGGGTGATTGAGGGAGAGGCTGAGGAGTGGGGAAAAGAAGGTTTGGGGAAGGTAAGAAGGGATGATGCAATCACCGCCTTGGAGAAAATACAACTGAAGCACCACCACCTCCTCGAATACAACCCACAAAGGGGAAAAAAACTCCACATAGGACTATGAGAAAAAATACAAACACTAGTGACTTCCACACGCACAAGACCAGCAATTTATAGACTCCCAAAAAAACATCTACACAAAAAAAGGGTGGGAACGCAAGAAGGATCCAGAAAAACCCTTCCATAAATTCCTATAGGCCTCGCCCCTGGTTTGCGAAGGATCGCGGGACATCGCGTGTGAATCACAATCCTACCCTGCCTACAATCCTACGAGACTTCACGGGCCTTCTAGCTCGCGGGATAGAAGCGCACGACATTGATTTTAGTATCCACATCACTAGATTCCTGGAAAC